GAATGTCATTGACCTACAACAAAACAATGTAGTTATAATAATGTATGATGTTTTTTAGTTTCTTTTACTCACCACAGTGAACCTATGCTCATATAGGATGTCATTGACCTACAACAAAACAATGTAATTATAATAATGTATAATGTTTTTTAGTTTCTTTACTCACCACAGTGAACCTATGTTCATATAGAATGTCATTGACCTACAACAAAACAATGTAGTTATAATAATGTATGATGTTTTTTAGTTTCTTTTACTCGCCACAGTGAACCCTATGTTCATATAGGATTTCAACATTGTACAGCACTAATGATACGAATATATTCTTGTGAATTATTCAACAGACGAGTTGTTTAATGTCTATCATTCCATTCACCACTTTTTACTGAGTTATACCAGTTTGGAGGAATTCTAACCCTCCTTAGTAGCCTGGGTCAAGAGCGACTTCGAAAAATAAGACTAGGCTTTCTGTACTGATAGACTGTATATGGTAATCTTATTTGCCTTATACTCATTACAGTGAACCGATGTTTATCATATGTTTTAACGTTATTTATGAGTTTTTGGAGGGATTGTCATTGCAGATCAAGCAAAATGAGCGGGTTAAAATGACGAGCACTCTAATTGTGAAGTTCCACCTATCTTATCCAGCTTAAAAGTGTCTTGCCAAAGAGTCACACAGTTATTTGGTATTTCTAACCTGAATAGCACCTTGTACGACTTATGGGCTAAACGACTAGGTCAAAGACCCCCAAAGTTCAGGTACAGTCGTTCGTAATTACAGATGCTGACTGGAAGGAAGACGTTGTTGATTGTTATTAAGCACAAAGCTACACAAAGGACTATCTGTGCTCTGCCCACCACGGGTATCGAAACCCGGTTTCTTGCGGTATAAGTCCGCAGACATACCGCTATGCCACTGGGAGGGGGCGAAAGGAAGACATCCAGTCTACACGTCAATGAAATAACATTATTGGCTGTCACATCTGAAGTGTAAGGCGTGTTCAGCGTCATATTGAAAGCTCGAATTTTGGACCCTCTGATCCGTAGCCCGACACACCACCACTAGATCACATGCCATCACATATATCTATAGTATATAAACGACTTCATATATTTCAATTGTTTTTTAGCCACCCAGTTGTTCAGCGGTAAGTCTGAATGGTTATAATGCTAAAAAACAGAGTTCAATACACGTGGTGGGCGCAGCACAGAGAGACCATAGTGTGGTTTGTGGTTAATTACAAACAAACAAACAATTGTTTTTTAGCCACCCAGTTGTTCAGCGGTAAGTCTGAATGGTTATAATGCTAAAAAACAGAGTTCAATACACGTGGTGGGCGCAGCACACATAGCCCATTGTCTTGCTTTGTGGTTAATTACAAACAAACAATTGTTTTTTTTTTGTTTGTTTTTTCAGTTGATGGTATTTTTTTCAAATTAACTTATAAAATAGCCCGTTTGATTTTCCCACTTTTTTTTTTCAATAGAAAATTCAGTTTTCGTCATTGAATTATTTCAAGGTACAGACTATTTATTTCTTAAATAGTGAAACTTGGGGTTTTCTGTTCCACACAACTACACTTTATTTACTGTATCTTTATGAACTCCCCGTCCCATCAAACATGCTCGACCTTTCAGACGTAGGGCGTTATAATGTGACGGTCAATCCTACTATTTGTTGGTAAAAGAGTAGCCCAAGAGTTGGCGGTGGGTGATGATGACTAGCTGCCTTCCCTCTAGTCTTACACTGCTAAATTAGGGACGGCTAGCGCATATAGCCCTCGTGTAGTTTTGCGCGAAATTCAAAACAAACAAACTGTATGAACTCATTTTGGTTATTATCTAAACTTAACTGTGTTCCATACTTTTTTAAGCAATAAACTTGCAACTAGTTTTATCTTCCGAGTGTTGTTTAGAAATCATTCATATGTTAGGAAAACACATAGGTTCAATAAATCAATTTAACACAAAGATACGATACCCTGTAACCCGAGCACTACCTTTCTACCTTTCGAAAGCGCTCGGGTTATAAGGTTTTGTAACTTCGTGTTAAATTTAGAAACAATTGTGACTTTGTGCAGTGTCCCAGGGTCTAACCCACTAGGTTATTACACTAATAGAATTTAAAAAAAATAGCTATCCAGTAAAACAATTTATTAAGTATATACTGTTTATTAGAGAAGTAAAATTCACCACCAGTTCTGACGACAACCAGAATTGTACGGCCTTTCACAACTTTATGTTAGAAGGTAAGAGGCTTGCCACACCCATTTCTCTGAATCCATCTGATTGTGTGTAGTTAGCCACAATTTTAATCCTGGCCGGTGAAGTACAATTTTCACTTTACTTGGACCCATGTTCCAAGTAGCAAAATGGGCTCTCCTTAGCAATTCTGTTAGTTGGGGTTCTGGAACCCCTAGGGCACAATATCACATTAAGGAAAATTGTGTCTAAACACCACTCTTTTTGTGTGTGTGTGAAAATTACTATCCTCAAAATT